ACATACCATAAAACACATTGGGAAGCCGGGAGGCCCACTGACGAGCCGAACCCCTCGCAGCTGCGGCAGGGCGGGGCATGAGATCAGCGAAACACGTGTATGCGGGATTTTATCTAGTACCTGTGTTGTCAGTACGGTAAATGATTACTGCTGGCTGCCTGTCGGGGGTTTTCGAATAATACGCGGTTATTCTGCAGTAGCTGATGGATTTCAGCTCAAGTATGCATATCAAATCTAGGACCGTGTCTGAAAAGCTTTCTTCCGAAGGATTTTCCTTAGGCTCACGCGTTAATTCCTCGGAAATGAAGCCAGGCAAAATGAATGCACGTTAATCAGTCTGGGTGCTTACAGTTGTTCAAGCAAGAAAAAATATCAGTCAGGTAGAAATACACAGGCGTCTATCCTCATGCAAGTGGTGAACTTGTTAATGGTTTGCATTTTAGGAAGAAAGATAGTCAGTCAGAAGATGGAAAAGTGCAGGCTAGGATGCGGAAGCTGACATGGCACTTTCCAACTTGCTGTCGGTCGTCAGTCAGCCCATGAGTTAAACTCTGGCTTGGAAACCGGGGACTCCAGCCAGGGTTATCTGGCCACTGGATGTTAAGGGGAGGGCGTTCTGCCATTAAGCCACGGATTCGGTCACGTTGAGGGGCGTCGTTCCCCGATGTGGTTACGGCAAGAAATGTACTCCTCGACGTTGTGCCTTGGAGGTCATCTTAGAACGCTGGCAGGTAGTCGTTTATGGGGCAGCTGTATTGTGGGATACTACCAGTTGCAACAAAGAGGGCAAAAGGTCCTTGGCTTAATTCTAGAGGGTTGATTCAGTGGCCATATGCGTCCACAATCAACCACCAGGCAAACAAAATTCAGAATTTTATTATGACCGCTGACAGAATCGAATAGGCGAGTTCCAGGACACAGTTCAAAAAACAAAGATGCGATGTTATCGCATTTTCTTCTTTTGATCATGACTGTGGCAGGTGGTAAAAGGGGATTTAATACTAACTCCCAGCACTAGCCATTAACCATAACCCCTAACTGCTTACCCTAACTCCTAACCCTAAGCATAAACCCTAGCACTAAACCCTGACCTCTAACCCTAACCCCTAACAAGTACGTCGACGAAATAAGATCTTGCCGACTTATCCACTCCTCTACCCTTATTCTTCCCGTGGCTTGACAGGACATGCTTTTTGCAGCTGCAAAGGTATTCCCGCTTACCGTCTGATTCTCATTCACCAGCAAAGTTGTCCTCGAGACACCGCGGTAAGCCCTACGAAATGGCTTTACTCGAAGGGTATATAAAGCTTGATCAACAGCCTTTCGGCTGCAGTGTCACGACGTTAATCTAAAAAACGCCGAAAAAGAGATTGGTTATGGTGATTGCTGGGTTAATGGACTCCATCGGTCAGCGAAACATCATATCCAAAACTGAAGGACCGGATGATCGAAAAAACGAAATAATTCTAAACAAGTACCAGGCAACAAGACCACGAAACTTGCGTTTATTCTCGTTTCTCCTTTCCTCCTCCCCTCTTCTCCAAAGAAAGGAGTTTTCTCCCTTAGTTTTATGATCACTTGTTTTCGATAAAAGCTGACTCAGTCATGGGGAAGGACAAAAGTGAGTCTAGAGGGGTTATTGTTTTATTAAATATGTGCTGACATCTTATTGGCAGTAGCAAAACAGTTTTAAAAAAGTCCTGCGAAATTCTGCCGACATCAGGCAGTATAAGATAAAGGTAATGCCATTGCTTCCGATAGTAAGCAGATCCATAAAATCTCCCAGGCGTTCGTACACGTGCAGGCGGAAGCAAATGCCGAGGTATTCATTCAGGATGAGCATGACGGACCGAAAGGCAAGGGAAGGCAGAGTGAGGCATGTCCTACTGGCAGTCCTTCTGCTTAACGAGACTCCTTTCATCCTGTCCGATATCTGACAGCGGAGACCGTTGGACAGGCTACTGAATGATTTACGCATCCAGTTGTGTTATGGAGCATGTAACCACAGCTGTTTAAATGATGGCTTTTGACTTCGCGCGAATAGTTACCTTAAGGCTTTAAACATTATAGACCTAACTCGGTAGCGTGAGATATTTTACTTGATTGATTGATCATAGACTGCGCCTGACGAGGTCTGTTCCGAAGGACTTCTTCCAGTTTCGCGCGTTAATTACCTCGGAAATGAAACCAAGGAGGATTAGATTTGCCGAAAACTGAGTTGATCAGTGCCAAGAAGGTTTTATTCTTCGTGGACATTCGTGACTGATTCTCGACAATTCCCTCCATTTCCTAGTAGAAACAAGGAGGCAAGTTCAGGAGGCAGTCGCAAAGAAAGAGTCACGATCGCTGGAACAAGCGCCCTATTAGCCTGACCTTTTGGTTTCTCTCTTAATCTGCCATCTGAGACAGAGTCGGGTAAGGATAATGGGTTGCTCAGGTGCTGCAGTATTTGCAAGATGTAGTTGCTAGGCTGCTACGTGTCTATCACAGTTGGCAGCTCTCGAGCGCATCACGGCTCGACTGGCCAGGTGTCGAAGCATGCAATTGCTATGCGTCTGCGTGACGGTCAAGACAGTCGACAGTCAAGTTGCTGACTGCCGCGTTTCGTCATCCGTGTGGACGCCTGGACGATCATGTTTGCCGGAATTGACAAAAAGAACAGTGGTCATCCGCACGTTTTCCGTATGGCTACCTACTTTGCTTAGGCAAAGTCTTAGCTCCGAATATTGAGAGGGGAGGTCATTGCGCTTGTGGTTTGATTGGTGACTGGAAAACCATGACTTGAGCAGTTCGTAGCTCACGCTGTTGTCGCCTCTAGCAAGAATTTTTACTTCATAAAACTTGAACGTGTAATTGGGTCTCATCGAATGAGCCGCGACTTGGGAGCTGAAGTCGTTCCTCCTCGCCGCTGCTGCGTGCTCGACCATCCGCATCCAGGGTAGCCTTCCAATTTCTCCGACACTGTTGAGTTACCCACAACTGCACCAGATCAGGTAAACGACCCCTCCATTACTCTACAATAAGTGCATTTTCGACTCACCGGTCGATATTTGTTACCACTTGTTCCGTAGCCACTCTTGTGGTTGGAGTACACAGTTGGCAATTCCTAGTCAGACGGGAGTGTACTCTGATCAAAAGGCAAGTAATAAACAGCAACGAACTCATCGCGTGGTTTAAAGTTTGGACTCACAAGAAGGAAAGTTTCAAACGGTTTCTTTTCTCACAGAACAAGGCTGTTTCGCCACAAGAATTGGAATGAAGAACACCTCATTGTCTTCGCATTTATCGGCATTTTTTATCTTACGGCCAGGACAACTCTTCCGCAGTCTTCATCTTTCGCCGGAATCTAGCCTTGATCTACACCACCTACCGTTCCGAAACACTGTCTCAAAGTTCTTTTTAGTGTCCCTGTGAAGCGTCAACGAAAGGTTGAGCCGATGAATTCTTATTATTATGCTGCTTGCGCTGTTTATAGGCAGATCGTTAGCAACTTTCAAACGTAAAATTAGTTAAAACGCTCGTCAGACCTTCCACATTCAAGTTATTTCGACAGATCACTAGAAAACGGTCACATCTTAAACTCTTTCCTGAAGATTTTCCTTTTTATATAATTTAAGAGAGCACTACGACCATGTGCGCTGCTGTTCAAGATACGCCCGCATGCGGAGTCGGTCTCGCGACCTTCGCAAATCCGTTCAGCAGCCGAGACCACTCGGCCACCTCAATACGGTCGGTTGACATCCAACAAAATTATATAGATTATACGAGCGAGCCATGCGCAAATAGGCTTTGTGGTAGATGCCAGCTGTTAGCCCTCAGGTTCAACCATCTCGAGAAAGAGATTGAAAAGATAAAGGTTCTTCTACAATATGACTTAGACACACCTGACGATACAAGTGCCCCCACTGGAAGAATAATGAGAAGTAAAGCAAAAGTACCTCCCTTGAATGGCTCTTCAGAAATGCCTTCTGTAACAGATACGGCTGTACAGGATCGAATAGCAAAAAATAACATTGACAGCAGTCAACGAGGAAATCAGAAAAACAAGAAGAAATCCGGCTGTAAAAAAGCCAACGAAAATGAACAGCCGCTTCTAAGTGATATACCAACAGCACCCAAGCCAGAAACCTCGACAACAGCCCTGTCCATAACGGTTAATGCCGAAAGCCCAAAAACAGTTCGTAACGCCCAGAAAACCCTTGAATCGGATGGGCCCAGCGCAAGTAGTGGTATTGAGGCAATTAGCGAATCTACAGACCATCGTGCACTACCGTCCATATCAACGGCCTCCTCTAAGCCAGTTAAAACTGCCGTCGATCATCGAAACCGCGATATAGAATGTGTTCCACAACCGTCATCTAATACCCTTAAAGTGCCACATCCATCGGAGAGAAATACGTCAACAAAGTAAACGAACGATAGCGCCAGAGACCAATGTATCGTTACTCAGGGGCTCCCTGAATCTAATGCCAACACTTGAAGGAGAAGACACGATCGCCGGGACAAGAGCTTTATTAGCCTGACGTTTCGGATTCCTGCTCGAATCCATCATCAGAGACAAAAAGCAGAAACGGGTGGTTCATGCACATGCGGCTGCAGTATTTATAGGATGCAGTAGCCATGCTACCGCATACCTATGAATATTCACAGCTCCCTCCCCTTCATCAGGGATCGTTGCACGTGGCGTGATGGCCAATATTCGCGTCGTTAATTGCTGCAATTTCATCACGTGCTTTGGATGTTGGTGTGATGATTGCTCGACCATCTGACGCGCTGACCCGGGTGTTGGAAAGAGTGTTCACCAGTGCGCTCCCCGCGTGGCCAATTACTCCGCCTATACGAAGTCGCAGCACGCTGTATTGAATGGGAAGATCATTGCACTTGTTAATAGACTGGGGGCCAGTAAACCATGATTCAAGCAGCTCCCGGCTCACGCGGTTGCCACCTCTTGCGAGAATTTCGGCCTCGTCAAATTTGAATGTGTGGCCGGAACCCGTCGAATGAGTCGCAACTTGAGAGCTGGCGTCATTTCTCTGCACCGCTGCAGCGTGTTCGGCCATTCGCGTTCGGAGCTGTCTTCCGGTTTCTCCGACGCAGTTGCTTTGTCCGCAACTGCACCAGATCCGATAAACGACTCCAGGCGTTTCTTGCCGTGGCAGTGGGTCTTTTGGTTTCATCAACTGACGCCTGATGGTTGCCTCCGGCCTGTGTGCCACTCCAACCCCAAGTGGTGCGAGAAGGCGGCAAACAGCTTCCGAAACGTCCTTGACATATGGAAGCGCTCGCCAAACTTTGGTGTCCGTGCGGTTAGGCCTTTCGTCCATTTTGTGTATGCACCGGTTGACGAAGTTGCGCGGGTAACCATTGGCTTTGAAGACCCGTCGGGGGTACTGTAGTTCGGCAATCTTGTCTTCCGGCTCACTGCAGTGCGTTTCGACACGCCGATAGAGCGTCCTTACACAACTGCGTTTGTGACTGATTGGGTGGTTGCTGTTGAAGTTCAGTACTTGCATCGTATTTGTCGCTTTCCTGAACACTTTGGTCCTTAGTCCACCACAATCCTTGCGGCATACGAGGACATCCAGGAAGGTCAGCTGGTTGTTCTCTTCCTCCTCCATCGTAAATTGTATGTCCGGGAAGACCACATTCAGACGTTCCTTGAATGTCAGCAGTTGATCCCGGTCAATAACGACGAAGGTATCATCCACATACTGGTACCATCCACATCTACCCCGGTATGTGGATGATACCTTCGTCGTTATTGACCGGGATCAACTGCTGACATTCAAGGAACGTCTGAATGTGCTCTTCCCGGACATACAATTTACGATGGAGGAGGAAGAGAACAACCAGCTGACCTTCCTGGATGTCCTCCTATGCCGCAAGGATTGTGGTGGACTAAGGACCAAAGTGTTCAGGAAAGCGACAAATACGATGCAAGTACTGAACTTCAATAGCAACCACCCAATCAGACCTACTGAATCGAACCGCAGAAAATCCAAAGTTATTCTATGGTAACATAAGAAGAAGCACACGAAACATATACCCAATCCCGTTATTGAAAAGTAGTGACGACCTAGAACTCAGTGAAGACGGAGAAAAGGCAGAGCACCTTTCACAATTTTTTAAGTCCGTCTTTACGAAGGAAAGCGCATTTCTCCCTCCCGACTGCGACATAGTGGACGGGCCAACGACGGAGCATGTCTCTTTCGCTGAAGCTATTGTTCGCAAAGAACTGTTGAAACTGAATGCGTCTAAATCACCTGGGCCGGATGACATACCGTCCAAATTGTTGAACGAGCTTGCTGGAGAACTATCTAAACCGCTGTCCATGCTCTTCCAAGCTTCGTTCGAAGCAGGCTATTTGTCCGCCGACTGGAAATAAGCGCGGATCACGCAAATTTATAAAGGCGGTAGCAAGGTCTTGGCAAACAACTGCAAACCAATCAGCTTTACTTCAATTTGCTGAAAAAGTATGGAAAAAAATAATTAAGCGAGAAATAATGCACTTCCTAGAAGAGCATAATCTGCTATGCGATGTCCAGCACGGATTTCATCCAGGCAGATTATACGTGACAAATCTACTTTATTGTTTAGATCGATGAACCCGGGCAGTGGATGGCGGCAATGCAGTGCACGCAGTCTACGTCGACTTTAAGAAAGCATTCGACGGTGTATCACATCAGCGTCTCCTGTACAAATTAAGCCAAACAGACATAAGGGGTGATCTCCTAAAGGTGGATACAAAGTTTCTTCATCGGTCGCTCTCGAATCGTCCACGTCGGTGACAGGCAGTCGGCTGAGGTAGCGGTTGAAAGCGGTGTTCCACAAGGCTCCGTTCTTGGCCCTACCCTATTCATTATATACGTCAGTCCTTTATCTTGTCAAGAGCGACCACAACGAACCACCGAAGTCATCCACTTAAACTACGCGTAACTGGCGCCAAGCTGGACATTCGAAATTTCTTCTTTTCAGACAGAGAGATCGAGGCCTGGAATGCTCTGCCTACAGATGTCGTCATGTCCACCTCCGTCGAGGCTTTTAAGCGCAAGTTGGACCATTGTACCACCAAACGTATAACGCCATCTGGCCGACAACGTCTAGCATTTCGTTCGAACAGCTTGTTAATGTTGTCATTTTACTGCCTGTATTTCAGTAACGTTTGTTTTTTATTACTGCTCATGTCTGTTGACTGAGTGTTGGTATTTAATTCGTCTCCCTTAGATACTGAGATGGCACCAGCTATGCATAGACAGACTACTTCACAGCACATTTAGTAGCGTTAATGTTTTTAACTCTTGGAACCATTCGTTTATCTGTCTGGCTTCGAAAACTTAGCCAATCTGAAGAAACTCTGTGGCTGTTTGGTGTTTCCATTTTCAAATTTTTGATATAGTTCGCTTCCTTGTAACAAATATGAAGTTCAAAGGTTCAACACCTATATCTCCCTCAAATAAACTGTACTGAGTTGAAGGCTTTAAACATTATAGACCTAACTCGGCAGCGTGCGTTGTTTTACTTGCTTGACTGATCACAGACCGTGCCTGAAAAGGTCTGTTCTGAAGGATTTCCTCAAATTTTACGCGTTAATTACATCGGGAATGAAACAGGGCAAAATGAATGCATATCAATCAATCTGGGTGCTTACAACTGTTCAAACAGAAAATATTGGTCATTTGGATTTGCATAAGAGTCTATCCTCATGCAAGTGGTAAACGTGCTAGTGATTTGCAATGTAGGAAGAAAGATGGCCAGTCAGAAGTTGGAAAAGTGCATGCTTGGATGCGGAGACTGGCATGACACTTTCCAACTTTCTGTCGTTCATCAGTCAGCCCATGATTTAAACCCTGGTTTGGAAAACGTGGTACTCTAGCCAGGGTTCTCTGGCCACAGGATGTTAAGGCCAGAGCGTTCTGCCGTTAAACTGCGGCTTCGCCCTTCTGCTACTAACAGGACAAAAGACTCATGACTGATTCAGTGGCCACAACCAAATCCCAGGCCATCAAAACCCGAGTTCGATCATGACCGACTGACGATGGTAAGTGCACAGTAGGTGACCATCCCAGTCGTCCTTGTTTTCTTCTTTATTTATTTTGCATTATTTTGCAATATAACTTGATTTTTGACAGCACCCCTGTCACTTTCGCCGTTTTACCTTGTCGTAATGTATTTGGAGACTGATATGGCCACATCTGACTTCTTGGTCGCCGTCGGCCAGCCTTAACTACTCCCTGAATTGGGGGCGCTTGGAGCTTGACCACTGAGCTACAATTGCGTTGTCTTCGCGTTTGTGAAGAGGTATACTGACGATGGTAGAGGGGCGTACAACTGCCGTATGACGAGTCATTGTGCTTTGGGGTTGGGCCTAGTGTCTACAGGCGTTTGCAACCGACAGAACAACGAGACCCTGACTCAATTGTTAGAGTGATGATCTTACTAACGCTCAATGATCAAAATAACCCCCGGTTCAAGCCTCAGGTACCTCCAAACGATCCCACTGTCTGCATCCATACAGAAATCCCGCATAAGATTAGCAGACAAGGGAATGTTTCTCAACCGTCGGAAATGCGAACTCCGACGAAAATCATAGAGGGGGCAAGCGAGAGCGCAGTGATGAAATCCCCAGGAAACCCACCATCGGCACCCAACTCTGGCCCGTCTACGCTCCGTCACCGCATGTTCAAGTCTCAGGCTGGCCTGGTGGGGGTCCTTCGGTAAAAAAACGAGATATCCACCAGACACCAGTATCCGAGAAGCTACAGTGAAAAATTCTTCTGATAATGATGACATCAAACTAGCCACTGGCGTGCGACTCTGTACAGTGATCAGCATGTCGGCGTAGAGACCTTTTAGAAACACTGGCCGCTCAGACAGCAGTGGCCCTTGTTCATTCCGCACCAAAAACCCTACCAGCGCCCGGTGATGACGATGATTATCCCCGTCTACAAGGACAGATGAATTAGCAAACCTCAGGCGTTATTGATAAAAGACGATGCAAACCGTGAAAGGTTTGAGTGCAACCTCCTAAGGACAGTAGCAGAACAGTGCATGGCGCATCAAAAACGAAAGGCTGCTGCCTTGTCTCCGACAAAACACATAGCTCATGACAGTTTGGCCCAAGTGAAAGGTAACCCCTAAACCCAAGCGAAAGTATGACTCATGGGAGCAGGGAGAATTTTTAAACTTTTCCCACTTACTCCAGAACCTTTGAAACAAGCATAGATAGCCGAAGTTATTGGAACCATGAAATTTCGCGACAACTTATCAACTATGGCCTGTCAGGTCAGATCGGATTTATTAAGGGAAAGGTAGGTGAGAGCATATAAATTCCCTTTTGGTTACAATAACGTCATAAAAAAACAATGTGTAAGGCAAGTGTGAAAAAATTAGGTAAGTAATTACATAAAACAAGCATTGGTTACAGGTATAAATTTGTCTGGGAATGCCTTATGTGTCAAAATTGTACAATAACCAGTACGCGGCACTGAATGGACCAAGAAATATCGAAGCAGTCGTATGTGCTTCGATCAGGAGATAAAGAAAAGTCAAAAAGTAATGCTACTTAAATATACTTATAAATAGCTGTAGCGTAAAACTTTGGGGGACGGGCGGTACAGGGGGAAATTCGCTAGTTTCAGATGCCGTGGAGATACATATCCTTGTACTGGTCAAGCTACCTCTCAAATGTGCCCACGGATGAGGACATGACGACGTCCACAGGCAGGGCATTCAATGCCTTCAACACTCTGTGGCTGAAGAAGGACCTTGCGCCCAGTCTCACTCCTGTCACACGTAATTTCAGAGGATGTCCTTTCAAGTTAGTAATGATGGCCAGCTCAAAGAAGTCATCAGATCTGAGGCAGCAATCCTGACGCCGTGGCATTCGTTGCATAATATAGATACCAAATGAGAAGGATTCAGAGATTAAAACTTAATTAGAGAAAATCAACATAAAACAGCAAGACCAAAGTATACTGCATGCAGACTAATCGGTAAAATTGTAACTCTAAAACGCAACATAGGAAAGAAAACGGGGAAGTTAACACGCCGAGGGATTGTGCAAATCAATGCAGTGAATGACTCCGCTTGGTTAATTATTAAACGGGGTGTAGGAGTGTCAGCGGTGGGTTCACGTGATGGTCGTAGTGGTCGCTCACTTGCTTGCAGGTGAGACTACGCTTAGCGTCCATTTGCTGGCACCCAACTCTCACCTGTGGCTCCACGTAGCTGGACTCTGCTCAGCAGCCACACCCCGGGCAACCGTCTCGACCGGCGGGCTAAACCAGGTGAGGGGGCCCTGTGCGCTGTGCCGTGTGCACAGGGTTTGCGGATTCCGCTGGATGGAAGGTCGGATGGAACCTTGCGTCGGCACCGTCGTGACGTGGTTCGTCTCTGCACGCCGCTGGACAGCCGGTGACGGGATGGATCTCCATATCGACGTCGCCTAGACGCGCCCACCTATGCCGTAGGAGACCGCGGCTTACGGCTAATTCGAGTCGCTCTCCACTACAACCCGAAGTCGTGGCCCCATAGTGGAGTTCGGCCGTGCCACAACGGCACATGGGCAGCCCTATTCAGGGATGGCACTGCCAGCCCCCACGAGGGGAAGGGCCTAGAAAAGGTGGCCTAAACATTGCTGGGTACCACGCCGTCTTCAGGCTAGCCAGGGCCGCAGACGTCTAAACATGTTCGAAACAATCAAAATCAAAACAACAACAACAATACCTATAACAACAACAACAACAATACTCGCTCACCTTCTCTTCCTCTGCCTATTCTTCTGCCTACTCTTCTCCTTCGCCATCTTCTTCTCCACCTCCTTCCCGTCGCCCAACTCGTTGTGACCAGACTGGCAGGGTGAGTCCGCTCACTCTGGCAGCCTGGAATGTTCGTTCCCTTTTAGACAGTCCGAGGAGCTACCGACCGGAACGAAGGACGGAGCTAGTGGCACGGGAACTGGCGCGCTACAAGGTGGACATCGCCGCACTCAGCGAGACCCGATTCTCCGAACAAGGCCAACTGGAGGAGGTGGGTGCCGGCTACACCTTCTTCTGGAGCGGTCGACCCAGGGCAGAGCGACGGGACGCGGGTGTCGCCTTCGCCATTCGGAACGACATCGTGGGACGACTGCCCTGTTTGCCGCAGGGCATCAACGATCGCCTGATGAGCCTCCGCCTGCCTCTCTGGGGAGGCAAATTCGCCACCATCATCAGCGCCTACGCTCCGACGATGACCAACCCCGACGCCATCAGAGACAAATTCTACGAGGCCCTGCACGCCCTCTTGGCAACTGTGCCGAAGGCGGGCATGTTGATTGTCTTTGGTGACTTTAATGCCCGCGTCGGCAGAGAGAAATGCTGGGTTCCCACGGTCTCCGCGGCTCAAACGACAATGGTCTGCTGCTTCTTCGCACCTGCGCAGAACACCGCCTTATCCTGACGAACACATTCTTCTGTCTGCCGGAGCGAGAGAAGGCCACCTGGAGGCATCCTCGGTCCCGCCAGTGGCACCTGCTGGACTATGTCCTCGTCCGGAGACGAGATCAGAGGGACGTGCTGGTGACAAAGGCGATCGCGGGCGCTGACGGGTGGACCGATCATCGCCTCGTCATCTCGAAGATGCGTATTCGCCTACAGCCTCGCAGGAGACCACAAGGTAAGCGACCCCCAGGTAAGCTGAATGTTGCCTTGTTGTCTTTGCCCGCTCACCATCTTCATTTCAGCAATGACCTAGCTCAACGGCTAGACAACCTTCCTATCGCTGCCGACGCCGCCGCTGCCGAGAACGCCTCCGTGGAGAACCGCTGGTGTCAACTGCGAGACACGGTCCAGTCGACGGCGCTCGCCGTCCTCGGTCGCGCTCCCCGCCAACACCAGGACTGGTTCGACGACAACGACGCCGCCATCAGAAATCTGCTAGCTGAGAAGAACCGCCTACACAAAGCCTACGTAGATCACCCCACTGATGCCACCAAAGCTGCCTTCTACCGCAGTCGCCGCCAACTTCAGCAACGACTGCGCGAGATGCAGGACGCCTGGACTGCTCGCAAAGCTGAGGAGATCCAAGGGTACGCGGACCGCAACGAATGGAAGAACTTCTTCTCTGCGATCAAAGCTGTCTACGGTCCGCCGACGAAGGGCACCGCTCCTCTCCTCAGCGCCGACGGCAACACTCTCCTGACTGAGAAGACGCAAATCCTGCAGCGATGGGCCGAGCATTTTCGAGGCGTCCTCAACCGCAGCTCCGCCATCTCCGACGTCGCCATCGAGCGTTTGCCGCAAGTGGAGACCAACGTGGACCTCGACCTCCCGCCATCTCTCCAGGAAACCATCAGGGCCGTGCAGCAGCTCTCCAGCGGGAAAGCACCCGGATCGGACACAATGCCTGCTGAGATCTATAAGAACGGATGTCCCCAACTGATGGATCACCTGACTGCGCTCTTCCAAGAGATGTGGCGTCCAGGCGAAGTCCCGCAAGATCTCAAAGACGCAACCATCGTGCATCTCTACAAGCGCAAAGGGAATCGCCAAGTCTGCGACAATCACCGCGGCATCTCCCTGCTGAACATCGCCGGGAAGATCTTCGCTCGCATCCTCCTCAATCGTCTGAATAATCATCTGGAAGAGGGCCTTCTGCCGGAAAGCCAATGCGGCTTCCGTCGTCATTGTCGGACCACGGATATGATCTTCGCCGCCCGTCAACTTCAGGAGAAGTGCCAGGAGATGCGGACCCACCTGTACTCTACCTTCGTGGACCTGACGAAAGCCTTCGACACGGTGAATCGTGAAGGACTGTGGAAGATCATGCAGAAATTCGGCTGTCCGGAGCGATTCACTCAGATGGTGCGTCAGCTGCACGATGGTATGATGGCGCGAGTCACGGACAACGGAGTTGTCTCAGAGGCATTCGCAGTGACCAAAGGAGTGAAACAGGGCTGCGTACTGGCGCCTACCCTCTTCAGTCTTATGTTCTCTGCCATGCTGATGGACGCCTACCGCGACGAACGCCCAGGGATCCGCATCGCCTACAGGACGGACGGTCACCTCCTGAATCAACGGCGGATGCACTTCCAATCGCGCGTATATACAACCACCGTTCACGAACTCCTCTTTGCCGACGACTGTGCCCTTAACACCACCTCGGAAGAGGAGATGCAACAGAGCATATACCTGTTCTCCGCCGCCTGCGAGAACTTCGGTCTGGTCATTAACACGCAGAAGACGGTGGTGATGCACCAACCGCCACCCAACACAGCCACAGCCTCCAACGCGCCGCCGCAAATCAGCGTGAACGGAACCCAACTGCAAGTGGTGGAGAACTTCCCGTACCTGGGCAGTACTTTCTCCCGCAACACCAAGATCAACGACGAAGTCGCCAACAAAATCTCGAAAGCCAGTCAAGCCTTCGGTCGCCTCCAAAGCACAGTTTGGAATCGCCACGGTCTTCAGCTGAGCACGAAGCTGAAGATGTACAAGGCCGTCATCCTGCCGACGCTACTGTATGGAGCGGAGACTTGGACGGTGTACGCAAAGCAGGCACGTCGTCTGAACCACTCCCACCTCAGTTGTCTTCGTCGCATCCTGAGGCTGAACTGGCAGGACTGAATCCCCGACACTGATGTGCAGGAACGGACGGGAATCCTCAGCATCTACGCCATACTGAGGCAAATTCAGCTGCGTTGGAGCGGTCACCTGGTGCGCATGGACGACGAGCGACCACCCAAACGACTCTTCTACGGAGACGTCGCGACGGGTTCTCGCCGCCAAGGAGGCCAGATTCGCCGTTACAAGGATACCCTGAAGTCCTCCCTGAAGCGCCTGCAAATCAAGCTCACCAACTGGGAAGAGCTCGCACTCGATCGACCGACCTGGAGGAGGACAGTGAAGACAGGCGCTGCGATCTACGAAGCTAACCGCATCGCTGCCGCCAAAGCGAAACGTGAAGCCCGCAAATCACAACTTCGACCAGTACGCAACGCCGCCGCACATCCGCTTCCAACGTGTCCTCGATGTCAACGGACATTCCGGGCTCGAATCGGACTTGTTGGACATCTTCGGATCAACTGCGCCTCTCGAACGGCACCAACCATCGTCCCCCCGCCCACCTCTTCCTCCTCCTCCTCTCCGCCGCCAACTAACTCTGACAATTCTTCTGACCCACCACTTCCATCATCCTCCTCCTCCTCCTGCTCGCCCACTGCTCCAACGGCGGCCGCTCAGGCCACTGTCCCGCGCGCACCAACCGACACTACCACCACCTCCCCCGACTCCAGGGATGAGGATCAGGACTAAACCTGCCCTCAATGCGACCGTACATTCACCTCACACATCGGCCTGGTCG